TGCTATACATTTAAATGTGAACTGAAAAAAAAAATTATATATATATACACATAAGTAAAATAACTTCAACATCGAATTCTTTAAAAAAAAAAAGTTTAATCGAAGTTACAAGTACAAGTTTAACCTATTTAACGATGTACTCTCGTCAAGATCTAGGCAAGGAATCGTAATTAAAAATGGAGAATTAAATAATTAGGTCCCTTGGGAGGGAGATGGTGCTGACTACAATACTAGGAATAACTCCGCATCTAAGCGTTGTACACAGATAATTTCACATAACAAACAAACATACACACACACACACACACACACACACACACACACACACACACACACACANTATATTTGTGTGTTTGTGTATATATATATTTTTGTGTATGTGTATATACATATATAATATTGTTTCTGACAAGACAAAATCAATTTATTCCTAAAAATTTTCACTTATTTACACAATTAATTTTACAGTATGCAATATTATGTTCATGCTGCTTAAAAATAAAACCTACGTGGACATGACAACGAACGTTGTTACATATATCTATCTGTAATAAATAGATAGATAGTTGGGTGGATGATAGTGCTCATTAAATCGTTTTTGAAGAGGTCCAGATTTTGAATAGTATTCGATTATCTTAGGAATTTGAAAAATTTTGTAAATAAATATCTTCGTAAAAATCAATTGCTATTGGACACGAAGGACGACGGAATACATTTATGCTTATGTTATTTTGGATATACTGTGATCATTTCTCTATATCAACCTTAAAACATTGACATTGAAAAAATAAGAAACAAAGGGATTTCTGTGTTATTGCAAATTTTATTTGCTTGCGTTTAGCTTCGTCTAAACCATTGATCCATTTCGTGCACTAAGTATTTAGTTCTTTTGGCATAAATTGTACGAATATTTTTCTACCAATTGTAATATAATTCATTTTTAATTTTCTTTCCAAATACCTTAATTCTCCTGATTCTCTTATTTTTGGGCTAAAAATCATTCAAATTTAGATTGCGTGCACTGCCAAACAAAAATTGCAAAAGAGCACAAGTTACAAAAAAATATCAAACTAAAACGATGGATTAATGATTATCCGAAAGTAAAAATTTGTGGCTATTGCATTTAGTTTGTGCTGTGAGAAAACTATACTGCACGACCCGTGTGATCAATCGATCTGAAAAGTTAAAAAAAAAATTCTTAGCTTTCCAATATTTACATCCAATTTTACGTTTATTACATCACTCCTATCCAATCTATCGAATGCTCTCAGAAGTTTGGAATCAAGTACTAATACCTTCAATGAACAGATTTAAAAAATGGAGAACGAAAATGAAAGAATTTGAAACGAACAATTTCACTTGCACTTTACCTAGTAATAATAAGGGGAAATAAATAAATAGGTTAAAGAAATTTGAAATAAATTGTAACTAAGCAAACAGAGAAATAAAAGTGCAGATTTTGATGTCCTCAAATTTTAAATCTTTCCATATTTACAATCCATAGAACAAAATTATCGTTTCAATAAATTACAAAACATTATTAACAGGAGTATTAATAACATGTGAAGTTAGTGTTGATTGGTTGTGCTGTAATCCAGCGTCTCGCATGTTCAAATTGAATGGCTTTGAAGAAGGATTTGCAAGTCACTGTGTATAATCTACGTGTATATGTATTTTGCATAGTCTGATGAGCGATTACAGTAGAAATCCGGATCACTGCAAAACAAGTTTATGAGTGAAACTATCGTTTTGTCACTATTGAATTGATATAAACATAATGTTACAACCATTTTTATTGCATGTATTGATTTGCAAACGGATTGGTTTTATTATTTATGCTAGTCTTATTTATGAACTTAAAACTAAAGTCTTATTTTTTTAAACATCGGTGAGTTGGTGTTGTATTGTATTAGTTTTGACTTGTTACAGATTAACAGCAAACATGGTGAGTCGTCCGTTGTTCACAAACTAGTGCACGTCTCATAAATTTTCGCTATTCCATTTCGTTTGGATTTTTTCCCGACTTTTTTAGTGTGATCTTTTCCATCGGCGGCATTCTCGAAATCGGCGTGACTAAATAACTTTGACTTGAAGTCTCATCGGCAAGTCGTAAACTCTAGCTCAAAATGGATTGCAGTTTTTCGTTTGGATTTTTCACCCGACGCTTTGTTAAAAAAAGAAAGATTCTCCTCAAAAATACTTGATCGCCGGTGATTGAGTCAGCGTTGGCCAACCGATTGTTTAAACCGAGCATAAACCAATGCCAAACGAAACATCATGCCATTTAACATAAAATGATTCGCTGTTTATTTTTGGAGAATCGCCAGTGAAACCAATCATTGTTGGGTTTATCGTTTGGATTGATCTGACACGACGCGAAGCAGGGTACAAGGATCAAAGGAGTGGCAAAACAGTTCTTTCCTTTCCCATTACCCTGGCTTCAAAAGGAGACGTGCCGAAAATGTAAAATAACTATGTTTGTCCCGTGTGGGTCAACCCATTTTGGAGTCCTTTCGCATGTACGTTATTTCCCTCTTCCCTTCAAAGGGTGCTTGCCGGCATTTTTTCAAATGCGTATCGGTATAAACATTTTTTAATATTATAATGTAATATATACACATTTTATTTTGTTTGCAGTGAATTTAACTATACAAATATTTTTTCTAATAAGAGATACCAAACAAAATGTTGAGTCAATAAACCGCCGGTTTAAATTCACTTTGTTATTAATTATTTAAGGTTTAATTACAAAACCTCTGGCCAAGAAATATGGTCGTCCGGGCCGGATTGATTACTTTCTTAAGGCTGAAGATTCTTTTGTTTTATGATAAAACATGTTTACTCTCTGTCCAATTACACCGTACATTTTGTGTGGCCATTCCTGTCATGTTATTATAAGTACATACAAAAATATGCGAGGTTTGACCCATTCCCCCCAGACTGATTGTATATTAAACATTAACTTTACACCCGCCATAGGCAAAATTTCATTTAACGAGGGGTATTAGTTATAAATTTCAAATCACACACAAACAAATTTATACTAAAACCAAAATATAATGATTACTTGATTTAACGTGTTCTTTCCGAAATAGGACTTGTCTAATATGATTAACACGTTTATGTATGTAAAAAAAATCAATCAACCGTCTAATTTATTATTGTACTATTTACTTAAAAGGAAAAAGGTTAAATATTTCTAAAGAAACATGATCTTGGTAAATGACGTAATCTTTCCCGGAAAAATTAATAAAGACGTTGACCTGATAGCATTGGTAGATTTCCTCTAGTGCGAGGGGAAGCAAACGGCTAATATCCCGGTATTGGACCATTGAAGCAGTTTCTTTTATTGGCGGAGCAAATGATTATGTCCGAAGTCGAGTCTCATAAATTTTTTCACATGAAGTACCCCGACGGTAACGCTGAAGAGGCGTAATTGGAGCCCGCTGGTGTACCATTTTGAAGGTGGTATAATTGAACGAATGAATTGAAATTCCGTTCGATGAAGTACAAAAAGACCAGTTATTCAGATTTCCTACTCGTACAACAAAGAAATAAGAATTAAACACTTCATTCGTTTTGGCTCAAGCGATATATTTTAAAAAACTCACTCGGAAAACAAGACCATTGGCGGAGAGGGTAGCGGAAAGTTCAAGACTTATACCCCAAGTTAGGTAGTAGTAACCGTTGTCTGCCAATATCACACTGGAGATCAAAAGGAAAAAACATATCACTTTTTTTTTTTTCCCCGGCTAACTACCAGGGTCATCGCCGGCTCCCCACATATATACCTTCTCGCATTTGTCTTCTTATCTATCTTATGTATATATTCTTTTCTGAGTCTTTCTATGCTTCAACTAAAATACTGTTGCCTTCCGATTCACCTAATAGGAGATTCATTATCTTGTTTGTTGTTACCCTCCCACACGTGATAAATTAAAATACATAGATACAATATTTACACATAGATTAATATTAATACATAGATTTAATATTTTCATAATTCACATTAATACTAATTTACTAACCTATACTACAACTAAATTGGAATTCGGAAGATTATCGTGATCTTGCGGCCCCCTGTCTTTCCCACTAATAAATACGTTCAAACGGTATTTACAAGTTCCACTCACACACTAACCTTTGAATTTGAAAAACACTGTTCGAATCCCGCTCATGACACTAACTTTCTCATCTCAACCAAGACCTTGGATAAAAATTGTAATGGTTAACATCTGGCGCGCTATTGTATTTATTTATTTATAATTCCAATCAAACTATTAATAGAATTCACTAGTTTCGTGGTCCGCTTGACCAATTAATATCTTACAATTAATTAAGGTTTTGGTTGAGATAAAAAAAGTTAATGGCATGAGCGGGATTCGAACCCACGATCTTCGGCTTGATACGCCACTGCTCTACCACTTGAGCTATCGTGACCTCGATCCAATCGGACACCAACCTCCCATCTCAACCACACCTTTTGAATTTTCCCTCCTTTTTGCCATTTTTCAAATGTCGTGTAATCAATTTGATTCTCGGAGACAAATGAAATGGCCACGGAGAGCTTTAGTCAAGTATACTTCATTTTAAACTTATTAAATTCACTAGTATCGTGGTCCGTTAGAACAACTAACATCTTACAATTAATTAAGGTTTTCGGTTGAGATAAAAAAAATAGCTCCAGTGGTAGAGCAGCGGCGTATAAAGCCGAAGATCGAGGGTTCGAATCCCGCTCGTGCCATTGACTTTTTTATCTCAACCGAAAACCTTAATTAATTGTATGCTGTTAATAGAAGTTGATGAATTGTCATCGAATCGACTCATTTTCTTTATTATAACTTTTAACTTTATTATAATTGTCTTAATTTTGATATTTCATTTTTATGAATATATCCATTGAAATGTGAATAGATATTGTTTCAACTTTAAAGTGTTTAAATTTAAATAAAAAAGAAATAAAAATGTCACCAATAAATAAAAACAACTGTTTATTAATATGAAATATCACGACATACGTTTAGATTTAAAACAATTTTAGCAACTTTTAATCAAATAGAGAATATAGGTTTTTGTAGAACACATACATTTTAGATAATGTTTCTAAACGCGGCAAAATCATTTTCTTCTTTGAGAGAAGAGATTACCGATTCGCTAGAATTCGAATTGCTTCCACGCCACATCGAACAGGCAGAAAAGCTGGAGAATAAGGTTAATAACAGGGTGAGGAATGTGTTCAAATTGGCGTTTGCCTCCGTCATGAGAGATCTGACTGAAGCCGTATCTGTTTCAGAAGTTCACAACGACGATTCGTATAAAAAGAGAATGACGCTTAAACACCTCCAAGAAGGCGAGGACCTTAAAAAAAAGAAAGATGAGTTGAAACAATGGAAGCAATTAAAAGAAGATCTGTCATGGTTCGTGATATACAACGAAAAATTAAAATCGAGTATACCATATCATTTCCATAGGAAAGAAAAACTGGGCAAAATTATGGAAGCCAAAGGTATTTATTATAGGAAAGTACTTCTGAAGAAAAAAATCACATTGAAACTTGTCCGTTGGTTTAAAAAACGAATGGGAATAAAGGCGAAGTTGAGAGGGGATAAGATGAAAAAGAATCTTCACCTTCAAAAATATAAACTTATGAAACCATTGATTGTTAGACGACTCCTAAAAGACATTATTGCTTGTGGTTTTTACAGCTTCATGCGGGAAAGACTTATAGATATTTTGTACGACAGAAAGAGGAAACAGTTAAACAAAATGAAAAAAGCTGAGAAAAAATACAAAAATCTCGTGAAATTCTATCAACAAAAATTAGCCGAAGCCAATAAATTCGCTGTTGCTCGAAGGAAAATTCGAGAAAGGTTAATTCAACTTAAAATTCTCAGAATAAAAACTGACGTCAAATCAAAAGTTTTCAAACACATGAAACGGCTTGGTTTCAGCACAACTCGAGAAGCTGAGGATTTTCATAGTTCTGCAATGAAACATTTGCAACGACTCCAAAAAACGGGCTTAAGCAGCACTGACAATTTAGTTCATTTCAAATCTCTAAATTCAGACACATTCATCAGGACAGTTTTTTTGGATTTAGCAAAACAAGGCAAAATAAATGCGCGAGACCATACTGAATTAAGTCGCTACGGTTTGTCTCCCAACTCCAAAGCACGTTTAAAAATTAAAATGAAGCAGCCACTCAATAAAACGGTCAAAACAAATGTTGTCCCTTTACTGAAGAAACCGATTACAAAAGGTATAGAGACTGAATCTAAACAGAAAAGTTCACTGCCACTATGTAAATTAAATCGTTCTTCTATTAAAGTAGAATTGCCACGTAATAAACCGTTCATAAAAAAATACAGAATGAATAGGCACAGAAGAGAAAAAAAGAAAAATAAAAGTTCCCAAAAGACAAATAAAACAGTGAGAAAAAAGGGTCAATCTGCCGTTAAATATAAAAAATATACCAGAAAAATATTGAGAAGACACAAAAATTATCAAAAGAGGGCAACTTCACTAAATTTAAGCTCATCTTCCAGTAAAGTGCATATGAAAAAGCGAAAGTGTAGAGAAGATCGGCGAACGACATTTATGAAAGAAAGGAATCGCCGTAAATACCCTTCGATATTAAAAGAAAACAAGTTGAAAACATGTACGGAGAAACTGATAAAAGCGTCGCCATTAAGAAAGCGCAGTCAAACTGTCAAAATCAAGAAAATGGGTCGCAGCGAACAAGCAAAAAGACGGCTTCATCAATTTAAAAAAACGGGTAAGTCAGTGTTTCCAGGGCATAACAGCGAACAGTTATCTACCATATTTTACAAAGGGTTAGTCGATTCTTTAAGATCTATGGTAAGTCACAAATCGTCTGTTGGGAGTACTAGCAACCACACGCCGACTATTGAGAGCGATAACATCGACAAGCAATCAGTTTCAGATTGCGACAAAACAAGTTTCGGGAACAGCATCGTAGAAGGGCAAGCGCCTCCAACAAAACGAGTAAATTTTTCCCGAAAACAATTGGCGTCAGAGCGTATGGAAGCAGAGAAAAAACGACTGGAGCAAACCGTTTTGAGGTCGGTGGAAACTAGATTTAAAGAAATGATGATGGAAGTGCCGAAAGATAAAGACTTTAGGATAACGAATAAACTCGGAGGATATTTGGCTAGGCATGCTTGGAAAAGGTTTTACACTGGTAAAAGCAGCCCTTGCGAACGTGTTAACTTTCTACAAAACTCTCGAAACAAATATCCCCCTTGGGGGCGTTATAAGTTGTACAGACCGTTGGTACACAATAGAAAGATTAAATACTATCTCGTCGTTCACGGCTTCGACTTGACACCACGAAAATTCAAGTCAAACAGGTACCCGTACTGCCCGGTGACCTACGATGCATTATGGTTTTTTTCCAATATACTCAAAGATTCAAAGATTCGAAGAAATAGAATAAAATATAAATATGAATTTTTAAGAAAGGAATCGGCTGTCAGCCAGAATAGTGGATCGCATCGTTTCACCCTCGATGAGAAATCTTTGTTCGATGGGTCTGTCATACCGCACCTGGTCTTCCGCGAGGAGGATGTTAATTCCCAAGAGACGGAAGAAGATGACGTCCCTCCGATGTTCACGTTGAGACGAGATTTAAAGTCTTTAGAACCGGAAGACAGACAAGCATTGCAGTTTAGAGTATTTTTAACTGAGACAGAAACAATAGAATTAATATCTATAGAATCTCGACATAATTACAGCTTCATAGAAAAGGAAACAAGTGTTGTGTTCTCCGAAAGCTATAAACCGGAAAAAAAGTTATCTAAAGTGGAACTTCTGAAAAAAAGGAAAAAGAGAAATGTTTTTATTGATGGGATGAATCCAAAAATAAAGGAAGAAAAAGATATGAGTACTTTGAGGGACGCTAGTTTCATTATTAAATCGGAAAAATCAGTTACTGAATTTGAACCAAAAACGTTCGAAACCCGGGGTGTACAGGTGGTTACAAAAACCCGTCGTTCATCTAAAGTACAAGTCAATGCACCGACTCGAAAAAACGCGTCAACTCTAGTAACCACATTCGATTTTACTGCCGAGGCAAATAAAGAAAAAACATTCGATGTAATCAAATGGTATAATTCAAAAACAAGTGAAACTGAAGGGTCCACATCGTCAGACGACTTTGAGGTAGAAAGAAGCGATGACCCGTTGATAGTGACAAAATCAAGCGATTTCAGAGAAACTTTGATGTATGTTCAAAGAATTATTTCGTCGAACATCTACAAAAAACCGCAGATGTTTTATGCACGTTACCACGTGGATCCTCTTAGCGGTAAGTTGCCCATTTCTTACGAATGTGTTCATCTTTGGACATTTCACGATTACAGAATACAATTGAGCCAAATGATCGTAAGCTCAATTGCTCCTCATCCGTTCGACAGTAATATAATTGCTGTGGCCTATGCCAAAAATGAATTGGCAACCCGAGATTTCGGGCTAGTGTGCATTTGGAACATCAAAAATATTTTCTTCCCGGAACAAGTGATTAAATTCAGTTCTTCAATTAATTATATTGAATTTTCTCATCCGACGACAATTTCAGTCGCTTTGATGGGCGGTTTCGTCGCTGTAATAAACATCAGTAAGAAAAAACATAAGATTACCATGAACACGGAGCGAACGACAACGGCCGGTTTTCTTCCAATCTGGCAGTTCTCTTGGTTTCTGGAAGAAAACGGCGAAAAGTTTCCCGTGTCTTGTGGTGCCGACGGCCGGATGTTACGATACCGGACGGACGAGACGTTCGCCGCGACTGTCCTCTTTGAAGCGACACCGATTGAAAATAAATTACGAGGTGTCAAAGGATCTAACGGTGAATTCAAAACGACCAAGTGGAAAGAAAGGCCTGAGATGACCGCCTGCGCTCAACACCCGACCGATCGCCAATCCTATTTGGTCGGCACTTCTGAAGGCACTGTCCACATATGCTCACTCCTGCTGAGAAACAACCTAGAACTTTTTTCCGCGCAAGAAGGACGCATCAACGCCATAAAGTTCCACCCGCACTGTGAACATGTGTTTTTAACAGTCGGTGGGGATTTCTTTGTCCGTATATGGGCGATAGGCATATTTGAACCGTTGCTCACTTATTCCGCAAGGAACGAGTACATCGAAGACGCCTGCTTCAACGAAATATGGCCTGAATTGATGATCAGCATCAGTGGAGAATTCGTTGACATTTGGAACATTCGGCGAAGGGTGTGCGTCCCTGTCCAATCTTGGTCGAACCCAAAACAACTGAAAAACACGTGCATTTCATTTTCGACTGATGGTTACAGCGTAATTGTAGGCGACACTGGAGGCTACGTCCACTCGTTTCGACTTTGCGAAATGCCCTGCGAAAGTAAAATGAAAGCTGAAGTACTCTCGCAGGCTATCATGTCCACCCTGTCAGAACGGCATGATCTCATTGCTGCACTTTCAAAACTCGGCTACCCATTTTCAGTCACGTACATTGAGAACTTTTTAAAGGCGACTTCCTCCAGAAAAAGTGACGTGCTGTGAAAACGATTTCACGGGCAATGTCGGTTGCTCAATCTGCACCATAGTGTATCAATGCATCATTCGCTTGCACAATGACATAAGCCCGGATGCTGCGTTTAAGTATTAACAAAATAAAAAACTTAGTGTACACTTGAATTTTGATATATTCCTTTCCAAAAAAAGCTAATAAACATATGTTACTTTAAACATTAAATTAGAGTTTGCCCACAGTTGGTACATGTTGTAAAATTTTAAACACCATGTCGATAGAAGAACTAGATATTTAAAAAAAAAGATAAAATACATGATTGTAGTAGTTGATTATTAGAGTCAGATTTAAACTAACGTTCTACATAAACTTTTGTTTTTGTTTTGAGCATTTATTTTTAATATAAGTTCACCTTTTACGTGTTGTTTGTTGCTTTTGTTGTTTTTGCGTAAAGTATGTATCACTTTTATAAATAAAAGTACTCTCTACGTACTTTTGTATGAAAAAAAATTAAAATTTTATTTTTTTATTGGTTTAATTATTTTTTAGTGAAATTGTATAGAGAGAAGGCCTCTTATTCTATATTTATATAGAATCCATTACTAAAAAATAACATACAAAATAAGTAAATTTTCTAATGTTTTTAATTTTTTCGGTTAGATGGATACTCTTACAAGTTTAATTATAATAATAATTTAATATTATCTTCTTCATTTCAGAGAACAAAACTGTAGGGATGAGCTGTGTTATCGACCTGCTGGAAACATGAAGTTTTTTGGAGGATCTACGGAAGAGGTTGCTTTGAATTTTTGTATTGTTTAGGAGGCCTGCATAGACCGAAAGCCCAACCTATCGGTCTGTAGATTACGACTATTTGGGGTGACACTGATATATACTCTTTATACACAATATATTTATACAAAAAAAATTCAAATCAAAGGAGGGAAATGAGAACGTCGCCCTAGTGGCGGAATCTGCTAACCAGGGGAGAAAAAACGAGTTGTTGCCTTCATTTTGTCGGGGTTTGTTTCCCAGAGCCTCTGTTCCTCTCGTCGAAGAGGGGTTGTTTTTTGGTCTGTGATCTTAATGTAAAATAATTTAAATGTAAGATAAGTTAATTGTATATATATGTATAAGAAACACACTGTGATCGTATGTACCTGAAAACAAAAAGGAGATTTTACTAGGTTTTTAGACTTTTACAAGGTAACCTTTTCTCGACCACGTTTTTAATAATTTTTTATTGTATTTATAGTTGTAATTTTTAGTTATTAACTTATTCAATTTTTAAATAATGTTTAGATGCTGAACACCAAAAAAAACGTAATGTACTTCTGTGCCCAAAACACCATGTTCTTTTTATTTCCCCATTAAGATTTAAGTAAGATATTTCAAATTTTCAATTTTTGTGCAATTTGTTTTTTCATGTTTTTAATTGTTGTTTTTTTATATGATAATAAAAACTGGCCCTGAAGATGACAGTATAAAAAGTGTCGAAAGCTCGGCGAAAACCCAAAGGAAGTTTTTCTCAGTGTTGACTTTAAGAACATCGTTCCCATGAGGATTCAAAAACTTCCCCTTTATATATATGATTATATTATATATACATTTTCACTCAAAACTTTTACATTAAAAAAATTAAATAAAATAATCATAAAATATTTTTTTAAGTGATACAAAGAAAACGTTAATTAAAAACAATTGGGTTGCATTCTGTATTTTTTAGTTATTTTACTACCAATTGTTTTGCTGCACGAAGCGCAGAGAGTTAGGGTTCTAACAACATTAGGCGTTGGTCGAATACAGTAAAGCATATTAAATTCACCAGTTTCGTGGTCCACTTGACCAATTAATATCTTACCAATTAATATATTATATATTAAGGTTTTCAGTTGAGGTAAAAAAGTCAACAGCACGAGCGGGATTCGAACCCACAATCTTCGGCTTGATACGCCGCTGCTCTACCACTTGAGCTATCTTTTTTATCTCAACCAAAAACCTTAATTAATTGTAAGATGTTAATTGGTCAAGCGGACCACGAAACTAGTGAATTTAATAAGTTTAAAATGAAGTTTACCTTTACTAAAGCTCTCCGTGGCCATTTCATTTGTCGCCGAGAATCAAATAGATTACACGACATTTGAAAAATGGCAAAAAGGAGAGAAAATTCAAAAGGTGTAATTGAGATGGGAGGTTAGTGTACGAGTTGATCGAGGTCACGATAGCTCAAGTGGTAGAGCAGCGGCGTATCAAACCGAAGATCGTGGGTTCGAATCCCACTCGTGCCACTGACTTTTTTATCTCAACTGAAAACTTTAATTAATTGACAGTAAAGCATATTCGTTACTTTGTGAGAAATAAGCGGTTTTTACAATATTTGCGACGCAATAAAAAATTGAATATAAATCGTGAGGTGGTAAACAACCAATCAAGTAAGAGAAGGTGAGAACATAATAAGAAAAGGAACGAAGGGCAGGATAGGGATGAAAAATTTAGGGATTAAACCGGGTGATTATCTATAAACTAACCCCTCCATTTTATTTCTTGTGGTTGGAAATAATTAAAAAAAATAAGACTGGTATTTGCATAATTTGTTACGCAAAATCTGAATCTGAAGACAAATTTTTTTCAACGTACGGTACGTTCTTAGGGCTCAGCAACATTTTTTTCAAATGGGAAGGAAATTTGAATACGTAATTAAATTCGACGACTTTTTTAAGAATATTGTAAATATACAAACCGTAAAGTTCAATACATAAACCATAGTTGTATAATATTATGTGCTTAATTCATTTGTGCTTCAAATATCTTAGCGTGTTGTTTTTCCACGTGAAGCACAAATTACGTTATAGCTAGAGAATTTTAGGGAAAAAATTTCTATATTTTTTGAAATATGACGCCCCTACTCACTGTGGTATTTTGCATATGGAGCCCGTAGGATAATTAATCTAGCAAACTTGATGTTGTAAGAGGGTCACTGCTTGATTGTTATGATTAGTTCAGTTTTTGTAACGTCTTAATTTTTCATCTTAGGCAGAGTCGTATAATTTTACTTAGCGCCAAATTCACAATGTTAAATACGGCTCTTGGTCTCCAGGAAGAATATTGCGATGAAAGGCCGAATTGAGTTTAAATTATTTAGTGGGGACTAGTGTTGACCCTAGAAACCCTGTAGTATCACAGCAACAATTTTGAAACAGGATGTTATAGCTCGATTGAGAGTCGTGAAATGATCTACCACTGAGATAGGACATAAGTCACATTAGAAAAGAGAAGAACCTTGCTTGATTTATTATGCTTGTCTAAATTATTAAACTTTGTTAGACACAATAAGAGTAATTTTAAAATATTTGTAATAAATTTGGCTCCAACCAATCACATGTCACATTGTTCATATAATAAGACGATGAGAAAATTTAATATAAATGGTCGTTCGCCACAATTAAATAAAATATTCCAATTGACAATCCTTTTAGTTTAGAACATGGAATACTTTATTTTAAATATGTGATTCTTGTTAAAACAGCTAATAAAACTGGGAATATTATAATGATGAACACGATGCAATCGGCAATGTATTTTAAAAAAATGAATTGTTAATCATGTTTTTACAGGATGCATTTCAATACGCTGAAATTAAAATTATCGCTCAGACAACGCCAGGCCAGCCTTGTTCCGGCAGTTTGCACTGACAAGTAGTCGGAATTCCTCTAGTTAATTGAGAAAGGGGATAGGTCCCTTAAGAGTATGTGGGGTCTCAGGTAAAGGGAGAACCTCAGAGAGATCACAGAGCTTTCTCGGCTTAAAGGATTACCAAGGAACCGATGGTGGGAGGAGCTCGATCCTAAGCGTTCTATATTGAACGGCTGGAATTGGAGTATCGCCTCTGGCACAATCTTCGGCCCAGGATTTGTGACCTGAAGACGTTATGACGTAGTTTATATAATTGTTGAAAAATTTCAGAAAACATTTAAATAAATATAATTGTTTAAAATCCATAAAATGAAACAGTTAAATTTTAAAAGCTATGCCATATTAAACAATTCATGTCTTAACACTAAATTATTTCATTAAAGGAAAAAGGTTTTAACTGCCAGATAAAATAAATACTCCAACGTACAATAAAGAACTGGAAGAACAGTTGAGCCGAGAAAAGTGTTGTGCGTCGATCATCCACTAACAAACCATTATTTTGTTTTATTTGTGCAAGTATTAACCAATTGCAGGAAATTACGCTCGAACAAAATAAAATATTTTACTTCTCTTTCTGTAATTAAAAATTAATTGATTCGAGATTAATCAACGAATAATTGTTTACTTGTTTACACAGAATGGTACTAATTTAAATAATTAAAACAGTAGTGATTGATAAGGAAATAAACGTATTTCTTTCTCTTTCTCTCTATTTATCTATCTATATAACTATCTCTGTTTCTATATCTCTCCCGGTGTGTGTGTGTGTGTGTGTGTGTGTGTGTGTGTGTGTGTTTAATTGATATCTTATTTGTCTTTGACACGTGATGGTACCTGGTGAGTCTTGGAGGAAATTGATTTTTTAACAATACTGTGCCTGCGTTTAGATGTACCTGTTACATCTAAACGTTAGTATGCATGCGTGCGTTATATCATACTAAATTGGATTGAGAACGCTTTATTACGGTAAAAGGAAGGATATCCACAATGTGGGAAACAAATCGATCCTGCCCGGAGGACCGAACAGAATTTGTAATTAAACCGGAAATTCCCATGCTCTTCTAAGATCTGCCAGCACTTGCTGTTCCGACTTCCAATTCCAAGAACGGGAGTTTCAGCCCATCAGGCAAATTGCTCAGATCGTTTTACAAAGCGAATAACCCATATATACAAACGAAGGGCTCATTTGCATTACCTGCGATGTGCTATCGCTGAAATGGCATCGACAAATGATGAAAAAACTTTACATGGATCAGCGTGCGACCTGTTTACCTGCAAGGGGTAATGCGCGATTGGCATGCTGTCATTGCAAATCATTTTGTGTTTCATGCAATGTAGACAAGCTTTTTCGATCTTTTCTCTAAAAATTTGAACGTGAAATAAAAATTTATTAATGACGGTGACGAACGAAGTATACAATTGTATTAAAGGTAAAATTCTTTTTTTACATATTGTGCTATATATTTATAATAAG